GGAGATATCTCTGTTTGGGTGCTAATAAGATTATTGGAATAGCAGTAATATTAAACATTTGAGTTTTTTGTTTTACATGAATAGGGACCCCAGGAACAATGAACTCTAGCCTTACTTTCAACTATTTGGCTTATAAATTCTGAATGCTCAGAATCAACCATAACATGGGCAGGAAAAATTAGATTCAAACCTTTATTTCCCCTTCTTTCCTCTGTTTTCTAGCTAAAAAACAGAGTTTTCATCCAAAATAATAGATACATTAACACATCTAGGCCCATGTTTAATTAGTAGGATTAATAGTGAGGAGATTGACAACCCATGTGATTAGTGTAGGATTAGTTATCCAATTGGATTAGTGGATACATAATCCGCTCTTGTGCACGTTCCGTTTTTGCAATGGAATATGGAAATATATATCCAATTATATGTTTTGTTTGCATTAGCAGTCTCTTCTTTGATTTCTTGCCTATCTTCTTTCATCTTCTATAGGAAGACCTAGATTAGGTTCAATAAAAAATGATTCTATCATTTCTATATCTGCAATTCATATAGATGAATACATCATACAATATTATTTTTGTCCTTTTTTCATTTTTTTCAAAATGTAAGTTTGTAGGATCTATTGATTTTGTTAGATGAATATCCATTGGAACCTAATTCCGAATAACAAAAATTACAACAAACACTAGAATGTGAAGTCCCAATAATTAAGAATTTCAATCTTATGCTATAATCTGCCCAATAAGACAGGCCAACTAATGTTTGAGCTATCCTCAACACACCAAAATACATTGAAACTAATCTCAATTCAAGTCCAAGACATACAAATACATTGAACAATCTACTTTAACCATTTAAAGTTGAGTTTGGAATCTTTGGAATTTATGAAGAGGAAAAGCAAAAAAAATGGGAAAAAAAATCTTGATTTGTGGGAGTGAAAGAAAAAAAAAGGAAAAATGGGAAGAAATTGAATAATATATAATATATATATATATATATTATAAATTTCAGTTTCATTTTTCCCTCCCATGACAATGCAAGATCCAAACATAGCTTAGGAATCCTCGTTGATCATGCTATTTCAGTAATTTTTTATTTTTTAATTAAAATATGAAGTAAAAATTATGTTTCAGATGACTTTTTTTTAATTTTTTATGAAAAAAATGTGAGAAAATTTGACTTTTTTATATAATTTGTCAAGTTTTTTTTAACTTTTTTTAAATAAGTTTAGGCCCTAAAAAGTGATCGCTCATTCAGTGTAATATTGCTATCCATTTTATTATAAAAATACATGTAGGAAGGGTAAAGAAACCAAATGTCAAATGCTAAAATATTGAAGAACTCAAACCCAAGATAAAGAACAAACTTCAAATCTTAAAAATAAACAATAAATAGTATATAAACAAGACTCAAGCAACTGTCATCTCTTCCTTTCTAATCATTTCTAGGCAACAAACAACAACAGAGCAAATTGGGATATACTGTTACGTTTACCATTGAGATTGAGAATCTCGAATTAAACACCGATATTTGTATATTTTCAGACAGTAAGGGAAGCCATAACAGCATAACTATTATGAAACTCCTACAATCAAAGTCTGCATTTAGTCATAGGCACAAATCTGAGTGCAGATGCTGATTTTTTTAACCATTCTTAATTAAAACCACACGATTCAAGCTGACTGTCAAACCCACATTAATCTAGTTTTATTCAGTTCATATAGAATATGCTCAGGAACAGAACACACCAATTATTTATTTATTTATTTATTGGGAAGGGACAAATAACTCAAGCACAATGTTCTTTCAATTCATTCTCTCCAAATCAAAGAAAAGGGTTTTACGAACCACCAATAATTGATATATATATATATATAATATACATGCACAACCAAAATCAAAATAACGCATAAAATATAATAGCAAACACAATGTGTTGCTAAAAAATAAGCCTCGTAGCTAAAATTTTGGCGCCTAATGTGAGCCTATTAAGCAAACACAATGCTTCAGACAAAACTTCCGTGAAACTTGTGGAGTTGACTGGAATCAATGTTTATAAGTAAAAAGGAAGCAGTTCAGACTAGAGAGACTAACCTCAGCTCTACTTGGGGGGTATTTCCATAATCCCTTGCCCTCAAACCATTTTGCTTGCTTGCTTCTTATAGAGCCATTTTGATGTGTTTCAGATTTGCCCCATGTGTGTGTGAGATCTGGTCCAATGGAGTGGAGCATTCCACGAGTGGACATGTCCCTATTGATCCCTGATCATCAATGAGCATTCTTAGTTTCTGTTGTTGCAAAGTACAGAAACCACTAGATAATGAAGCATAAGCATGCTAGTATTCTGATCCACTTACCCATTTTCTGAAATTCAACGTGGTTGGACTTGTTATGTGATTCATTAATATCCAAATCCTGTTCAATTTGATAGAGTTCCAAAATATCAACACAAAAATATGTCAAGATGTGTGCAATTATGAATTTCTAGAAAATTTTAAACATCACCATGGCATCAATGTCCAAGACTTTCTAGACTTCCATTAGTTTTTTCTCAGTCAGATCAGAATGGATCACACGTTTGCCTGTGACATTTAACGCCAAAAAGTTTTAAAAAGCATTTAAAATTTTTTTAAAAAATAGAACTTAAAATTTGACTGAACATACCTAGCCTCCGGTTGCTTTTGGCATCAAGAAACCCATCATGCATCGCTATCACCTTCATCAACCATGTCATCCATTATCATCACAATTCTGCTGCTTATCTGTCAAAAGAACTAATGTCATTCACATTTCAAACTTCAGAGAATACTGGAAACACCTAATATGTAAACAAGTTTAAATAGCCGAGCACAAAGACATGTAATTACCTATTGGCACGACTATGTATTGGTTATCTTGCGAATGGCTAACCTAAAGTGGGTTACAAATTGACAAGTAGTTAACTAAACACTTGTTCTATATGGTAAATCAAGCTTTCAGCAATTAGTGAAGCTCATGGAGAACAAACAGTAACGAAATGTTAACACAGTACCTCACTGACAAATTCAGAATGCTCATCCCTTTGTACAAAATCAGCTCCCAAGCTCACATCATCGTCTTGAATGTCATCATTTTCATCTTCACAAGGATCAAGCATACTCTTAACCTGCATAATTTCCAATTACAAAACTCAAAATTTGAACAAGGGATCCAAGTGTCTCACTGTTCCTGCAATCTTGTATCTTTACCTTGAGAGCTAATACAAAATGTTTATTGTTGACATTCCCAACCTCTGCGGTCACTTGTGCCCTTACATTGGTCTTGGAAGGTGAATGCATTCTACAAGCCCACAAGGCCCATGGTAAATCATGGTAATTTTAAATCCTATTACTCAGGGTTGAACAAGTGCTTATTTAAGTTTGCCCATTATAAAACTATTTTTTGAAGTTTTAATCTCAACAAAAATCAAACATGCTATTTTGATAAGTTAGAAGGGTAATTCCAGAGGGATAATATGCGTATACATCACTTTCATGTATCCATAGAACAGCTGAAATTTGGAAACTGGCAGCTTCCTGTTCATCTACGAAAGCTATCATGATAAACTTCATATATTGAAACCAGATCTTTGAAAAAATATCAAATAGCCACCTTGGTTTAAAGCAGCCAATGATTACTATAATAGATCTGAGTATTTTATATTTTTTTTTATAGAATTAATAATTAGAATATTTATCAAAATTGCCAACATTTTGAAATACTTATGGTCAACTACAAAAAGTAGGGACAAAATAATGGAGAATCATGATAAATTTACTTCCACCTCAGATATTGGTAATTATAAGATACTCACATCGACGTCTTTTTGAAACTGCGGTGTATTTATTCATATGCAATCTCCATATGAGAAGTGACACAACAGCAGATAATACAACTGCACCTGCAACTGTTCCTACTACAATGCCAGCTAGTGCCCCCTTGCTAATTCCAGATTTTGAAGTGGAAGAAGGGATCACTGCAATAGAAATAAAAGTAATAAGCACAAACCAATTCAATCCATCCTTGAATGCATACAAAAATTGGAAAGCATGACTATGCACTCCGTTGTTTAAAATGGCATAGGTCTCTATTTGTGGCCGACTTTAAGATCAATGTAAACCACCACCCCCAGATAGATCATCCAACACCATGATCCAAGCATCATCCACTAACAAACAGTAAAGAAATGTTAACACAGTACCTCACTGACAGATTCAGAATGCTCATCCCTTTGTACAAAATCAGCTCCCAAGCTCACATCATCGTCTTGAATGTCATCATTTTCATCTTCACAAGGATCAAGCATACTCTTAACCTGCATAATTTCCAATTACAAAACTCAAAATTTGAACAAGGGATCCAAGTGTCTCACTGTTCCTGCAATCTTATATCTTTACCTGAGAGCTAATACAAAATGTTTGTTGTTGACATTCCCAACCTCTCAATTTTCAAAGGATTTTTAGTCCATGGGCTATGAGCTTCTTGTTCTGTGCACTTTTTGAAGAATGGAGGCTCATAATCCACAGGCTGCAAGATCAATAAGTCAGTGATCATGCTTTTCGTGGTCAAATATGAACAGACAAAAATAAGGATTTTTAGATGCATTATTGGACAGACTAGTGACAAGCCAGAACACCCCAAAATCTGTAAGATTCAGATGATGCTTTATCTTTGTTAGCTTTTCCCATTCCAGCAGTTTTGCAATTTGAAAAATACATAATTCTAACTGCGTGAAAAAATGACAAAAGTAACATAAAACATTTTAATGCTATAGCTCAAAACTTGAATCAAAGCAAATCATTATATTTACAAGTGTACTTACTCTTTTCCATTTTGTATCCCACCCAAGTGAAGAACTAAGGTGCCACTAGTATTAGTGACCTGCATATCTATTTCTGATACAGAACCTGAAGTAGGAGCACTAACAAGCACCTGTTCAATTGGATAGGATACAAGAATCTCATGTTGAATACATTATCTATCTGAAAGATTTAGGTATTTGAATTCATCTAAACCCAACAAAATTTCTGGGGTCAATTACAAATGCAAAAGCCTATGGTGTTAATACTTGTAATTTCGTATTTCCATCAAGGTTGAACTTTCTGTGAGTTGCTACAATGAAAGAAATAGTCAAAATCAACTGACATCCAAACCAGTAACTCAAATCATCGTTTGTAATATCTGTCATTTCTCTTCACATTGAAAAATTTTCAACCAAAATGGAAAAAGCCCAAAAGCTGATTCCAAAAGTTATTCAATGGGCAAATTAAAATGGTAGTCTATGTACTTTGTTACTTCCTGTGTCATTTTACTCCCTATAATTTCAATTGACTCGATTTTAACCATGAATTTATCACTGTCTCAATTTGGTTCAATTGAGGTTTTTTTTTTTTTTTTAATTTTTTTATATGAAAAATAAACATATAAGTGGCATGTGGGGAAAATTATAAACTTGAGTTAAAAATACTAACGAGATAATCAATTGGACTAATAAATTCATTCAATTGAACACAATGACGTAAACGGTGCGAAGGGGGGGAGGGGGGAAATAGGTTAGAAATTGATAGTGTACCTTAGAAGTTGGATCGGTGGCTAACACAGACTGAGGAAAAACAGAAAGCACTCGATTTGTTCCCATCGACAACTTCGTTTTTCGTAAATTCAGACATTTTCCCCAGAATTTGGAAGTGATATGCGACTTTCGAATCTGTGAATTTGCCTGAACTTGAAACAAATTGTAACCAGAAATGCAAGAGGAATTGATCTTACTTTGATGCTCTAGCACCACAAGAGCAAGCAAATTATGGTGAATCAAGTTATGGCCTATCGAATTGCTCATATTCTTCAGATTACGTTTAGAAACATAAAAGGCACAATTTATTTGAACATATTGTGTTTTGTATCTTGGAGACCTCAGTCGCTCACCGTCGCTGCAGGCCGCCGCTGCCCGTAGTCGCTGACGATCAAAGGATGTAGGGCTAGGGTTTGGAGAGAGGAGTGAGTGAGAGATAGGTTTGGGAATCTAAAAAACAAATGAATTGTATTGTGTGTTGTGTGTGTGGGAGATTTGATGAGGGAAAAAAAATGAGGGAATTTTAAGAGGAAATTTGTCATTGCCCGATAATCAGATCACAACCAAAATAATAATAATAATAATAATAATTTCAAAACAATTTTTAGATTTGTTTTTTTGAAAAAAATTAAAAATAATTTGAGAGCAATAAAAATTAAAATTATATTTTTAAAATTTTAAAAAGTATTTATGACATGAAAGATAAAAATATACAAAAATAATATGTATTTTTTATTTCACCCAATTTTTTTTAGTTTTTTAGGGAAAAAAGAATTGAAACTAGTTTCTGAAAATAAAACCAAACATATTGAAATTGATAATCTAAGCATAGTCTTTGAACAAGTTTAAATTATCTCAAATTAGTCATCTCAACTTAAGAGTGTGTTTGGGCTTAATGGGTTCATTTTGTGATCTAATTCAATAATCATTTTAATTTTACAATTCAGTAACTAGAATATTTAAAACTCTTTGGAAAATTGTAATCAAAAATACAAATCACTATATCACATCATTCCACTAGCAAAACTTTTACCAACGAATAGTGTTATCGTCGCCAAATGGTTAACTCTTTGCCCACGCTAACTTGTCATCGCCAAAAGTATGCACACTAATAGCAACGCTTATTGTGTTGCTAAAATATAAACCTCGTAGCTAAAAGTTCTGAAATTTTGGCGCAAACCAAAAATTTTGGTGCTAAAAGAATGTTATGTTTTTTTAGCGACGGTAGCAAATTGCGTCGGTAAAAGTATACTTTTACCAATGAAATTGATCACTGTGTCGCCAAAAATATACTTTTAGCAATGAAAAATTGACGTCGTCGCCAAAAGTAGTTGCCAAAAGTGCAATTTCTTGTAGTGTTTGTAATTTAGCCAAACCTCGAGAGGGATATATATAATTTGCCCATTAATTTAATAATGATATCAAAGTTGTCATCATATTTGACTTTTGAAAAAATAGAAACTAATTAATGAAAATAAAAACAACCACCCATCACATGATTATTATCCAAACACATAAAATAATTAATTTGGTAAAAAAAATAATAAATAAATGTTTAAAAAATTTATCAATTTTACATAATTTAATTTTAACGAATAGAAATAATTTTTAAAACTTTAAAAATATTTTTTTGACATTTATTTTGTCAAATTTGTTTATATTTTATCAAATTGATAATTTTGCCCGTAAAATTGAGTAATGGTATCTTTAATTGTCCTTATTTGGAATAAGATTCAAAATTTAGGGTCAAATGTGTCACAATTTAAAAATCAAGGACTCAAGTGACCCAAGGTCCAAACTACAGGGACCGTTAGTTTAATTCACCCTTTTTAAAAATAAACTATCCATTTTTTATAATACAAATATAATTTAATCATGTTATTAATGATATCTGATTATTTTAATTTTAACGATTTAAAAAAGTAAATAGTTTGAATCACTAAAATAGTTCCTAAAAAAAGGCCATTAAGCCCAACTACTATCAAATTAAGCCTCTGTTGGGGAAGAGGTTTTTTGGGCTTTTTGGGCTAAAATAACTACAAAAAAAAAATAAAATAGGCTTTTTAGCCCAATAAGACAAAACATCACATCTAACCCATAATTATTACATTTTTTCTCTCACAAAAAAGTCAAAAAAAA